AGCAGACACAGGGTGCTTCTAATGAAAATAAAAATTGTATGCTGAAATACACATGCTAAGCCCTTCGAAATTTTGTGCTGGGATATGCGTTACAGATTCGCAAATTTTACCCCTACCGAAACCAAAGATGTATACACATCAAAAAAACAAACTGTGCAACAGTTATTATTTTACACCCTGTATATGATAAAATATTAATAGCTGGAAAACGGAGTACAAAAGAAGTACAAAGATATTTTTTTTGGGAGTACAAGGGAGTACATTGCAATAAAAAGGAGTACGTTTACTCCCAAAAGCAGTACGTCTGGCAACCCTAATTTTACAGGAAAAATTAAACATTTAAGTGAATCCCGTGATGACATTGTTTCTGTGTATCTGGGGATGACCTTGTTGCTTTGAATCGATAATCGATTAATTATATTTTAGTGTTAATATCATCAATGAACTGTAATTTTTGAGTTTCTTTCCACAACGTGTGAGACATTTTGGTTGTTCACATTTGTCTGGTTATGTGGTTATGTTTTTTATTCAGATTATAACAATAAGATACATTACAGAAGAATAATTTTTAACCAGATAACCTGATAATCAGGCAAGTGTGGACAACCACATTGTGATTTTAAAGATATTCATTCGCAGCGTGACTTCGAGATTAACTGGACGTGCCGACATCTTGTGCTTGTGTTTTATTACATACATATAAGCGTACAGTTACTCTGTGCAGCTAGTGCTTCAAAGTTTTTCTTTTGAGTTTAATTTATAATTTAATTAAATATTGTTCAGCGCCATCATCGGATAGCAGTAAGTTGTGAGTATTTTGTATTCATACCTTGTTCAAAATTAGTATATTCATTTTTCTTGGCCTAAGGGGAAATTTTTTTTTATTAACGGTGTCGCCTACGGTACCCAAAAAGTCTAAAGCTGAAATTAGTCAAGAACGCAGGACGTATACTTAAATGCAGTCTGTATACGCAGAATTGTGTCGATTACTGGAGCCCTCAGTGTTGCTTACTACAGTGTTGCCACTCGTCAATGCCTTTTCATAAACTTATCTTTTCAACTACAATTTTTCGTGCTATAATAGATTGTAGCTAAATATAAACTACTTAGTTTTCTACAAAAAACCTTATTCAATAGTAAATTTCAGATATTTTAAACATATTTTGAATAGGGCCTTATAACTTTTTTACCATCTGCAAAACTGACGAAGTGGCAACTATCTAAAGAAGGAAGAAATCAGCTGACACGGAAAAATCTAAATTCCGAGTGCTTCACACGCTTATCCTGAAAATTTCAAAGCCACATTCTTTGCACTGGTTGATGCCACTGCAATGCAAAGAAATTAGCAATGATAGAATTAAAAATGGCTTGACGCTAAGAAGCCGAATTAAAGACTTAAATTTCCTTGACATAGGTCTCATTTCTGCGGTTGGCAAGACACTATTCAAAGTAACCTTTAAGCAGCAAACAAATTTTTAGTTTGTGAAAACTTATAAAACGTGGGCTGCGACCTTTCGTTCCCAACACAGCGTTTGAGTCATATGGGGTGATTAGAGGAGTACCTCTAGAATATGATGTGAATGATATTAAAAAATCTGCAAACTCTAGCGTCCCGATTTCTTCTGTGTATCGGTTTACACGTAGAGAAAAAAGAGTGACAATGAAGATATTTTTGACCAACTACCACTATCAAAGTTGGCTTTTTAGGAAAAGACATTCCAAGTTTATCAAGCACGAATATACTAGGCTAGAAGTTTCTTTTTACATTCCTTCTCTAAGGCAGTGTAGAAAATGTGTCAGGCTTGGTCACACGCAACTAGGATGCAAATCAAAGAGCAGATGCCTCAACTATGGCAATCAGGAATGTAACAATGCGTGTAATCAACCAGGCTGCATTCTTTGCGGTAATGAGGATCACAACTCCAAAGACAAGGACAAAGTGGGACATGGCAAAAGGAGCTCATGATCAGTCGCATTAGGGCGGTTAAGAAACTTTCTAGAAAAGAGGCAATTGATACTTATTTCCCGAACAGAAACAACAGGTTCGACATTTTAGAAAATGAGCAGGCTGAATTACCTCAGTTAGGTGCTGAAGAAGTGATAATGGACAAAAACCAGTTTATTAATAGAAAAATAATAATAATATAATAGACAAATGACTACTAGGATGAGTGTTTACACTTTGAGTTCCATTTCTTAACTTATGTATTGAATACGTAAAATTACAACAATCTAACCCTAATATAACTAATAACTAATGCAACCATGTACAATTACGCAAAGCGAACACACTGGCGTTGGCTGTCAAAAAAATTGCGTTTTTGAAGATACACACACAAAACAGTCCACGAATAAATGAAACATTTTGTACTTAAACAAAAAATTACAGTGAGTGTTTTCGTTATTAAACATAAACCAAGGTATAGGTTTACGACATCGATTGCCATACTCGTAAATTTGGTCCTTCGAGCCGGATAGCCGGATTGGCTCCGTTCGACAATCCAGCGTGAATTATGTGTACATCCACTAGATTTGGGCAACGCAGCATCTTCGAAGGGAGTGCAATAAATATTGTATATTGCCAATAGACAGTATCCATGTACGCGGAGCACCCACATTGGAGTGTGCAAATTTGCAGAAGGAACATCACTTGAAAACGTGTAACTTCATCACATAACCTCAACGAGCACGTGCAAATTGCAATTAACCATAGCATTGTAACTTATAGCAACAGGTACGAGCGCCATCGGTATGCACAATTATATTGATATGTATACTTAAATAAATTCATTGTAAATGGTAAATGTCTATGCTAAAGAGCTCAAACTGTTTACTAAGGTCTAAGACCACTCGTATTTAAGCAAATTCCATTGAATATTAAAGATTTTTCAAACTCAAGGTAGATGAACGACTTCAAATTATTCAACATATGTATAAGTGTATGTGTATACCCACGAAATTGAAAACCTAATTATTGTATGCAAATATACTAAATATTTAGTTNGAAATCCCACGTGATCTGTCAAATACTAATGCATGAAAATCCTAACCTCAAAAAAATCACCCGTTATATGTAAATATCCACACAAATTAATTTTAGTATCCCTAATATTTGAATTAAAACTCCTGAATTTATAAATCTCTACACAAATCGTCGCTCGAATAAAGAAACAGTGTAAATGCCACATACACTATTATTCGATAATTCCACCACTGGATAGATAATCCTTTAATCCTTGGCTCACTAATTTATTTCCGAAAAACGAAATTGTATTTGTATGGTTTGTAATGGTTTATAAAAACGTCCAATTCATTTTTCTCAAAACTATACTTTTCATGTTACACTATTTCATTATTCCAGCGACGAAATAATCTTTAAATAGAAAATTGTAGTCTGTAGAAATGGAAAATCTCAAACAAAAACGTCAGGTCATAAAGGGCTCCATAACTCGTATTTACACATTCTGTCTGAACCAAAACGCATCTTTCGACGAAGTTAAGGTGCGAAGCGGTAAACTTGATGAACTATTTTCACAGTATGAAGAGATACAAAATAGCATTGATGATCTCGCCGGCCCATCTCAGGATGAAGGCGTGTATCGAAGCGAGATGGAAGATAAATATTTCGCAACTAAATCTATATTTGCCAATCGAGTACGAGAGGATGAAAGTAATCATATGATGAGTGAGCATCCACAAGGTGGAGACATGACTAGGGCCATGCAGTCACTTATGGACCACCAAACCACTATGAGTGCGCTAATCGAGAGAATGTCGAATAGCACTGGGATGAATGCAGCGTCGTCACCCTTTAATCAACCAAATGTTCGTAATACACCAGACAAACACGAAATTCGGCTTCCGCATATTCAAATTCCCGAATTCGATGGGACGTATACCGAATGGATTCGTTTTCGTGACCTATTCGAAGCCATGATCCACACAAGAGCTAATTTGTCAGACGTGGAAAGGTTCGAATACCTGCAAACAAGACTCAAGGGAGACGCGTTGTCGTTGGTGAAGCATTTAAGGCCTACAAATGAAAACTATAAAATAGCCTGGGATTTACTCAGCAAAAAATACAATAAAAACGACAAGGTAAAAAGGGCTTATCTGGAACTATTATTCGATCAACCGGCGATGAAGTTACTGTCGGAATCTGAACTAAAAATAGNGTTGGTGAAGCATTTAAGGCCTACAAATGAAAACTATAAAATAGCCTGGGATTTACTCTGCAAAAAATACAATAAAAACGACAAGGTAAAAAGCGCTTATCTGGAACTATTATTCGATCAACCGGCGATGAAGTTACTGTCGGCATCTGAACTAAAAAGAGTCGTGAACACCTCAAATGAAGGAATTAATGCCTTGAAAGCGCTCGATGAGCCTGTAGAGCACTGGGATTCCGTACTATTATTTCACATAGAAAAAAAGATCGATTCCTAAACACTCATCTTGTGTTTCTAAATTTTCTAGAGGAGCGACTATTTGAGCTGGAAAGCGCCCAAAGGAAGACAGGAAATTTAGTCAAATCTGGAATCAAAGCAACAGAAGCAAAAAGCAACGCCAACAAGTGTCGAAACCAGTCTAGTGCGTACACTTCGGTTATACAAACGGGTNAAAAGAGTCGTGAACACCTCAAATGAAAGAATTAATGCCTTGAAAGCGCTCGATGAGCCTGTAGAGCACTGGGATTCCGTACTATTATTTCACATAGAAAAAAGATCGATTCCGAAACACTCATCTTGTGGTACAGAGAGAAAAAATCCGATCAAGTCGCTACCTTTGCACAATTTCTAAATTTTCTAGAGGAGCGACTATTTGAGCTGGAAAGCGCCCAAAGGAAGACAGGAAATTTAGTCAAATCTGGAATCAAAGCAACAGAAGCAAAAAGCAACGCCAACAAGTGTCGAAACCAATCTAGTGCGTACACTTCGGTTATACAAACGTGTCCCGTATGCTCAAAGAATCACGCTCTATTCCACTGCAATCAGTTCAAAATGTTAGATATTGAAAGGCGAATTAAAATAGTACGTGATACCAGATGTTTCAACTGCCTTCAAGACAATCATCATGCAGCTCAATGCACACGCTCAAATTGTAGAATCTGCAACGAAAAACACAATTCGTTGCTCCACCGGGTAACAACAACAAATCCAATCAAGGCACAATCGCAAGAACCGCAACAGAGAAATTCGTCGATTAGCGTTAATGCGACACATCAGTACAACAAAACACTAGCGTTACTACCAACAACGGTACTCATATTAGACGGCCGAAATAGTCTTCAACCATGTCGAGTACTGCTTGATTCGGGTGCACAAGTCACGCTCATTTCTGAGGCGTGCGCACAACGTCTAGAGCTTAAGCGTTCATACGATAAAACTTTAATTCATGGTGTCGGGGCAGGCACTGGAAGTTATACAAAGGGTAAGGTGTACCTACAATTGAAGGCAACGTATTATGAGAAGATGGTAACAACGGAGGCTTTATGTGTGGATCGCTTGACACAAAATCATCCTGGCCACACAATCAACAACGAAAAACTTAATTATTTCAACAACCTGAAATTGGCTGATCCCCAATACAACTTAACGGGACGGATAGACATTATCTTGGGTGCAGATATATTTAGCGAATATTTACTACAAGACAAGATTGTACACCCAAGTGGATCTCCAAGCGCAATACAAACAATTTTCGGCTGGGTTATTATTGGTAACGTTGCTGATCAGCGAAATCTTGAAATAGTAGCAGCGCATATGACAGTCGACTTGGGTGAGCAACTGCAGCAGTTTTGGAAAATCGAGGAATGTAACGAAACAATGAATCACCTGACACCTGAGGAAGAGCAAGCAGAAATACACTTCCAACAACACGTTCAGAGGGATTCCAGTGGACGATACATCGTCAGACTCCCATTTAAGAGTACAGTGGTTAACTTGGGGGACTCGAGGCAGGCGGCGTTAAAACGATTTCATGGTTTGGAAGCCAAATTCTATAAAAATGTGTTGCTTAAAGAAGAGTATACCGAGTTTATTCAAGAATTTTTCGAGTTGGGGCACATTGAAGTAGCAAGGAGCTGCTCATCTAGCAAGACATATTTCATGCGACACCACGCAGTGTTTAAGCCTAGCAGCACTACAACAAGGGTACGCGTAGTGTTCGATGCGTCCTGTAAAACAGACAATGGAACGTCACTCAATGAACAACTACTAGTAGGTCCTACAATACAGAAGGATCTGTTCACAATCCTAATACAATTTCGCAGGTACAAAATCGGGTTCATTGGGGACATAGAAAAGATGTATCGCCAGGTGCTCATATATCCAGATGACCGCTCGTATCAACGCATCTTATGGAGAGATGATGAAAGTAAGCAAATCCAGGAATACAATTTAAGGACAGTGACGTATGGAACAGCCTGCGCGGCTTTCCTGGCTACCAGAACACTGCGTTAAGTAGCGATTGACAATGCTGAACTGAATCCCGATGTTTCAAACGCTATCGAAACCTGTTTTTACGTAGATGATTTCATATCATGCGCAAGTAGTGTAAAAAACGACTTGTGTAAAATTCTTGACAGTGCTGGATTTCACTTGCGGAAATGGTCGTCGAATTCACCACAGTTCATTGATAGCATTCCCACACAAGACAGAGAGTCCTCTACAGAGACCGTAATCGATGATACCCAAACTGTGGAAACCTTGGGGTTGTTGTGGAATACAGCCAAGGATTGTTTTAAATTTAGTGTGACGCTGGGGGCCATGCCACATGTCGTTACAAAACATACAGTTTTGTCTGATATATGCAAAATCTTCGATCCGATCGGTTGGTTGGCACCAGTTGTCGTTAGCATGAAAATTTTTATGCAAAGGCTGTGGCTGAGAGGTGTTGACTGGGATCAACCATTGCTTGAAGATCTATTAACCTAATGGCTGGTGTTACNAATTTTTATGCAAAGGCTGTGGCTGAGAGGTGTTGACTGGGATCAACCATTGCCTGAAGATCTATTAACCCAATGGCTGGTGTTACGTGATAGTATGTGCCAGATAACCAACTTGCAGATTCCAAGATGGTTACAATTGTCAGACGACAACCACGTCGAGCTTCACGGATTCGCTGACTCATCAGAGTTGGCATATTCAGCTGCAATCTATTTGTGGGTGCGACGTCCAGATGGAATAATATATACATATCTTATTGCTGCAAAGACTAGAGTAGCCCCCGTTAAGCAGGTCACATTTCCACGTTTGGAGTTGTGCGCAGCACAGCTTATGGTGAAACTGATGTGAAGCTGCAGCATATATTCAACATTGAGAATGATAGGATGTTTGGTTGGTCGGATTCCACTGTAGTGTTGGCCTGGATTGCGGATCATCCGAGACGCTGGAAATCATTTGTCGCGAACAGAACATCATACATCAACAATATTATACCCGCTACACAATGGCGACACATTCGTTCAGAGCATAATCCTGCAGATCTAGCTCTCAACAACAACAAGTTGTGGTGGCATGGGCCAGACATTTTGAAGGATTGTAATGAATCAACAGAAAATCAGAACTTCGAGGCATCAAACGACGTCGACATGGAAGAGCGAAGGAATATTGTTCACAGCACTACAGTTCCCGAAGCCGACTACATCGAACGATTTTCGGACTATAACCGATTGCTTAGGATCACAACTTGGATTCTGAGGTTCACAAAAAATTGCAAAAGGGCTAAGTCCGAAAAGATAACCGGGCTGCTTTCAGTAACCGAGCTCAGGCAGGCCACAACGTGTTAGTCAAGAATGTCCAAGTGCAGTTTTTCGCGGCTGAAATTCGAGCCTTATCGGCTGAAAAAGAGCTTTCAGCAAATCACAAGTTGGCATCACTTGCGCCATTTGTGGGCATGTATGGCGTATTACGAGTTGGTGGTCGAATTGACAACGCTGACATTAGTTATGAACAAAAGCACCCATTAATCTTACACAAGGACAGTTACTTAACTGAGCTCATTGTGAGGGAATATCATATACGATATTTGCACGCTGGAAGCCGTCAACTTCAATATTTATTAGGATTGAAATATTGGATACCCGACATAACTCATCTAGTCAAACGCTGTGTATACAAATGCGTTCGGTGCATGCGATTTCGTGGCAAGCCCTTCCAACAACAAATGGGTGATCTTCCCCGCCATCGACTTGAAACTGTCTCCGCCTTTCTCAACACCGGCGTGGATTTTGCCGGCCCTATACAAGTGCGGTCATGGAAAGGTCGTGGAAGTAAGCGCTATAAATCTTGGATTGCATTATTTGTGTGTTTAGTCGCAAAGGCTATTCACTTGGAATTGGTTACAGAACTTTCCACAGCGGCCTTTATTGCTTCTCTCCGAAGATTCGTGACGAGACGGGGCAGACCATGCCCTATTTATTCTGACAATGGAACCAATTTTGTTGGATGCAATCAACAGCTACGCGAAGTAATTCAATTTGTGAACAGATCAGCAACACAAGAGAAAATCACGACAGAATTGGCAGACCAAACCATCCAATGGCATTTCTCATCACCCTCTGGCCCGCATTTTGGTGGAATGTGGGAGGCCGGAGTCAAATCAACGAAGTTCAACTTGAATCGAGTATTGGCCGCCGACTCCGCAACGTATGAAGAAATAACCACAATATTGTGTCAAATTGAAGGTTGCTTGAACTCAAGACCAATATGTTTAAAATTCGAAGGTGATGAGGACCCATTAACCCCTGCCCATTTTCTAATTTTCCGGCCAATGTCATCTATTCCCGATGAGCCCCATACGATAACAAGGGTAAATTATTTGAAACGTTGGCAGTATTTACAATACCTAGTTCAAAAATTCTGGAATAGATGGTCAATAGAATATATCGGTCAATTACAACAACGGCCAAAATGGTCCCAAAAACTACAAAATTTGCAGTGCAACGACATCGTAATAATAAAGGATGATCAACTTCCACCAGCACTATGGTCCATCGGACGAGTCGTTGATACCCATCCAGGCAAGGACGGGCTGGTACGCGTAGTCTCTGTTAAGACAGCTAAGGGAATATATAAATGCCCCATCGTCAAGTTATGCCCATTATTTTTAGATGTTTGAAAGCGTAAGCTTTCAAAGGGACCCGAGATGTTTACACTTTGAGTTCCATTTCTTAACTTATGCATTGAATACGTAAAATTACAACAATGTAATAATAATAATATCCCAACGGTTTTTACCCTCCATTCCCGCTCATCCGCACGAGGGGCGCAGTCCGCATGACGTACGGAACCATTTTTTAAATTTTTGTGCCGAGTCACGATAGGCAGGAGTTTGTTAAGTATCGAGATCTAAAACTGTTCAGCTACAGAACTAAATTCATCAGCTGATTTTATGTATTTATGTCAATAATTCACTTATTGAGAGAGGAGAGTATCGCTTTCTTAATGCTGAAAAGCGGATCTGATATATCAAACGTGCTGGAATGAGAGTTAAAATCCTGGCATAAGCAACGGAGTGGGTCGTGCAATTCAAAATTGGTTTTACAAGCTTTCAGAAATATGGGACAAAAGTGTCTTGATACGCGTGAGGGAACATTAAAGCTTACATCAGCCAGAAGAGACGGACTTGAAATTGAGCCTGTCAGTAATTTAACCATAAAAATTATACCAAGCATTTCCCTGCGACTGGCAAGTGTAGGAAGGTTAATAAGTTTTAAGCGACTCGTATAAGGTGGAAGACTATATTGAGAATCCCATCGGAAATTTCTTAAAGCAAAAAGTAGGAATTGTTTTTGAATTGATTCTATCTTGTCTGAGTAAATTTGATACCTTGGATTCCAAACCACCGAGCCGTATTCCAGAATCGGCCTAACTAATGTTGTAAACAGGGTTTTAGTGATATAAGGGTCACTAAATTCTTTTGACCATCGTTTCACAAATGCAAGTACACCTTTAGCCTTGTTGACTGTCACATTAATGTGAAGATTAAAATTAAGCTTAGGATCCATTGTGATACCAAGGTCCACAAAATTGTATACCTGTTCCAGCTTATGGTTACCTATTATATAAGAAACTGGCAGAACAGCTCTTCGCGAGAAGATTACTTTACATTTA